AAAAAAAAAAAGAACACGCAAGTGTATCTGATCATTTTAGAGAAAGACACACAGGTAGAATAGACCAGAAATCCACTAGGATATAGTTACCTACAACAGGTGGGTAGAAAACTGAGTGGAAAAGATGAAAGAGTAAGAACAGGGAAGAAGAGATGGGAGAAAGAACACTTCTTGGAGTAAACGTTTTTGAATAGTTCAGAATTCAAAAACACTACAGAATTTTTAGGACCACGTTAATTTTTCACTTACTCGAAACAAACAAGTAAATAAAGTGACTACAAGCAAAAACACATGAACTGAATTATGTTTTTGAAAGACATTTTAAAAAACGTATTTGGGGGCGCCTGGGTGACGCAGTCGGTTGAGCGTCCGACTTCAGCCAGGTCACGATCTCGTGGTCCGTGAGTTTGAGCCCCGCGTCGGGCTCTGGGCTGATGGCTCAGAGCCTGGAGCCTGTTTCCGATTCTGTGTCTCCCTCTCTCTCTGCCCCTCCCCCGTTCATGCTCTGTCTCTCTCTGTCCCAAAAATAAATAAAGGTTGAAAAAAAAATGTATTTGTTTTGAGAAAGAGAGAGACAGAGAGAGAGAGAGAGAAAGCACATGGGGAGGGGCAGAGAGAGAGGCAGACAGAAGATCAGAAGCAGGATCTGTGCTGACAGCCGACAGCCCGACGGCCTAAGTCAGATGCTCCACCAACTGAGCCCCCCAGGAGCCCCAAACTGAATTATGTTTTTGATGAGTAACATAACTGCACTTGAAAGGGAGAGAGGAAAAGCTAACCCAAGGACTTTGACTTTGTTTTTGTTTCAAACACAAAAAGTAACTTTAAAGTAACAGTCAGTGGTTAAAATTTACTGAAAAAAAAAAAAAATTTACTGACAAAGTTTTCCGGTTTCTGTAGTCCCTATTGATTTGTATCCGATGTCTCCTTTCCAGGTTTACGTTTCTTCGCGCTGAAGCAATCTTTCAAAAGTTGCTTTAGTGAAGATCTATTGGTCGTAGAGTCTGTTACACTTTGTATGTCTGACAAGAACTTCATTCTACCCTCCCCTTCAAGGACTAGTTGAACTGAACGCAATGTTCTAGAACGACAGCTCTTCCATCGTCTTTTGGCATCTACTGTTGCACAGTAGGAATCTTGTTCCTCTGTAGATCATCTGTTCTCTCCACTCAATGGCTTTTAAGGAAGTATGGATTAGCTTTATCTTTTATACTTTTCAGATCCATTACTCCTGTCTAGATGTGAATTTATTTTTTATTATCTAGCTTGGAACCTGGAATGTAATTTTGATCGGAGGATTTAGACATTTCTTCCATTTGGGAAAACCATTTTATTATTTCTTCAGCAATTGTAGAGAGAGGGAGGTACAGAATCTGAAACAGGCTCCAGGCTCTGACTTTCAGCACAGAGCCCGATGCAGGGCTCGAACTCATGAACCGTGAGATCATGACGTGAGCCGAAGTCAGACACTTAACCGACTGAGCCACCCAGATGCCCCTAGAATACTTATTAAAAAAATTTTTTTTAATGTTTATTTATTTTTGAGAGAGAGTGTGTGAGCGGGGAAGGGGCAGAGAGAGGGAGACACAGAATCTGAAGCAGGCTGCAGGCTCTGAGCTGTCAGCACAGAGCCCGATGCAGGGCTCGAACTCATGAACTGTGAGATCATGACCCGAGCTGAAGTCAGATGCCCAACCGACTGAGCCACCCAGGCGCCCCAAGAATACTTATTTTAAACTGGTTCTTGGAGTTTCTACACCATGATAGTATCATGGCTTTCAAAGATCCAGTCATCAGTCAGCATGACTTAACTTAGTTACTGGCTTAGTTACTCCTCTGTCTCTTATAGACCAGCAGATACTTATGAACCAGTCCTAGGCAGCAGTGGGCACTATCTTTTTAAAACTGAAGTACACAGGGGTGCCTGGGTGGCTCAGTTGGTTAAGTGTCTGACTTCACCTCAGGTCATGACCTCGTGGTTTGTGAGTTTGAGGCCCAGGTCGGGCTCCGTGCTGACAGCTCAGAGCCTGGAGCCTGCTTCAGATTCTGTGTCTCCCTCTCTCTCTGCCCCTCCCTCACTCATGCTCTGTCTCTCAAAAATGAATAAATGTTAAAAAAAATTTTAATTGAAGTACGTACATTGAAATACACAGATCTTAAGTGTATGGTTAGATTAGTCTTGAAAAATACATACGCTTGAGTAACCCACACCCCTCTCAAGGTATAGAACATTTCCATCATTCCAGAAGTTCTTTGATATTTGTCCCAGTTTCCCCTCTACTCTAGCAGCCTCTCTTCCGATTTTATCACCAGAGGTTAATTTTGCTTGTTTTAGAACTTCATGGAATCATATACTGTCCTAGCCGGTTCAGGGTGTTGTAGCAAAAATACCATAGACTGAATGGCTTAAAGAACAAACACTTGTATTTCTTACAGTTCTGGAAAGTGGGAAGTCCAAGACCAGGGCAAAGATTCGGTGCCGGTGAGAACCCAGCTCTTGGTTCATAGATGGCTGCCTTCTGGCTGTATCCTCACATGGTGTGAAGAAAATGAAAACGAAATGATAGAGCCCTCTGGGATCTCTTTTATAAGTGCAGTGATCCCATTCATAAGGGACCCACCATTATGATCTAATCATGTCCCCAAGGCTCCACGTAAATACCATCGTATTGGAGACTAGGTTTCAATATACGTGTGAGGGATGAGAAGGACACAGACTTTCAGTCTATGGCTTGTAGCCTGTACTCTTTTGTGTCAGGTTCCTTTTGTTCTTTCACATTGCTGCGTGTGTCAGCAATTTATTCCTTTTCATTGTTGAGCAATATAACAGTATTTGTTTACCCATTCTCCTGTCAATAGACATCCGGGATGTTTTCAGTTTGGGGCTATTATGAGCAGAACCACTCCGAATATACTTGTGCAAGGCTTTTTTGGTGGATACGTGTTTTCATTTCTCTTGGGTAAATATCTAGAAGTTGAATTGCTAGGTAATAGGGATACTTCGTGTTATAAGCAACTGTTGTGCCTTTTTCCAAGGTGATTGCACCATTGGACGCTCCCACGGACACCCTATTAGTTGAGCCTCTAGTTGAGCCACATCCTTGTTGTTACCTGATGCAGTGTTTTTTATTTCAGCCATTCTAGTGAAAGTGTGGTGCTAAGTAATTGTGATGTTAATTTACATTTCATAATGACTGATGATGTTAAGAATTTTGGCTGTGTGTGTGTGTGTGTGTGTGTTCAGATCTTTTGCCTGATTTTTTTTAGTTTATTTATTTATTTTTAGAGAGACGGAGATAGCACGAGTGGGAGAGGGGCAGAAAGAGAGAGAGAGAGAGAGAGAGAGAGAGAGAACCCCAAGCAGCACTGGCACTGAGAACACAGAGCCCGATGCAGGGCTCAAACCCACAAAGCCACGAGATCACGACCTGAGCTGAAACCAAGAGTCAAATGCTTAACCGACTGAGCCACCCAAGCACCCCAATTGCCTGATTTTTAATCATACTGTTCGTGTTACTTCTGATTTGTAGGAGTTACTTATATTCTGGACATCAGTCCTTTGTCACGTAGAAGTGTTATGAATATATCTTCCCGAAGAAGACTCTTGTTAGAATCTTTTGACCATTTTGGAAAATTCAATTGTTTCTCTTTTTGTCGTACCTTATAGGAGTTCTTTAGATACTCTGAATCTGGCTCCTTTGTCTAGATATATGTTTTGTGAATATTTTTTGTCACTTGGTGGCTCACCCACTTTTTATTGGTGCCTTTTGAAGAACACACATTTTTAATTTTGCTGAGTCCAAGTTATCAATTTTTCTTTGGTTATTGGTATGTTCTGTGTCTTGTTTAAGAAGGTTTTGATGAGTTCAAGGTCATGGAACTGTACTTGAAGCTTTATAGTTTGGGCCTTTATTTTAGGCTTATGATCCATCTCGAATTAACTTTTGTGTGTGGTGTGAGGCAGAGTGTGAGGTTGTTTAGCCTTCTAGACACCCCGTCCTTCTAACACCATCGACTAAAAACTTTCTTTTCCCTGTGGAATCACTTTGC